CATTTGCGTAGAAACTGTTTCTCAGGCGGCTAGTCCTGGCCTTTATAACCCTATACCTTCTTCAAGCCCCACATTGGGCAAAAGATTCCTGCACTGTAGGGGGTTGGACTAGATGACCCTCGTGATCACTTTCTATGATCATTCCTAAACCTTACTCCATCCCCAGCATCTACCGGCCCTCACTATTAGAGTGCAAGTTCTTCTATAGCCTGAAATGGTTGGGAATCATACACATAGGGAAACTGGGCAAACTCGAAAGATGTGCATGGCTATTTCTGTGCCCCGAGAGGGTGGAACTGGAGTTTTGTTTCTTGAACAGCAGTCAGTCACGTTGCAAGCCGTTTCTTGAAACGGAAAGGCATTCCAGAAGCGGCATGTGGCGTGGGATGGGGGTCTGTTATTCAAAGAGAAAAAGTAAAATAAGATAAAAACCCAATGCTTCCTAGGCATGCAGACGCCTCTGGTCTCGCCTAAAGTAGCCTTGAAAACAACGGGACACTTCAAAGAGTTTATTTCTGCTCCTGACATACAGGATCTTTGAATTTCCAGCGCAGTAATTGAATTTATATGAAGATTAGTAGTCCCCAGCTTTGTTTTCCTTACTATGACTGGGAGATAAAGTAAGACTAATGAGATTTGTGTGGAGGGGAAGACTAGGCAGATGGGCAAGAATCCATTTCCTCCCGGATGAGAGACGCACTAGACTTGCAGGTGGAAGGAGATGCATCTGAAACGCTGATACGTTTTATTCTCCTTGCTGCCCTATCAGTCATCTGCTCTTTGCAATTTGTTTTAGGAAAGGCATGCACCATATACCTTGGGAAGACCATTTCTTAGCAAATAGCTTCCTGGCTGACGGGTTGCTTACTGGGAGGGGGAGGGAGAGGGGCAAGGAGGCACAGTGAAAACACAGTAGCAGAAGCATTGGACTGGCTTCACCGGTGAGTTTTCATTGCTCCTCTCCTTTCCAGTAAGCAACAGTGACCCATTCACCAGAAAGCTAGCATGGCGGTTCAACTCTACCAGTCGAACCACATCTGGCAAATAGAGAATCATAGAACTGTAGCGTTGGAAGGGACTACTAGGGTCATCTAGTCCAGCCCCCTGCAAGGCAGAAGTCTCAACAAAAGCATCCAGGACAGATGGCCATCCAACCTCTGCCAAAAAACCTCCAAGGAAAAAGTGTCCACAATAGGGCTACCAGACATCCCCGGTTCCTGGGGACAGTCCCCAGATTTGCAAATCTGTCCCCAGACAAATTCCGTCCCCGGAACGTCCCCAGATTTGCAAATCTGTCCCCGGGAAATGTGGCAGCAGCAGCCTCAGCAGCCCGGAGTCACCCTGGTAGCGCTGCTTGCTGCCGTGGCACCCACCATTTTTCCTGCGCCACGGCAGCGAGCATCTCCTGAAGCCAGCCAGAGCCAACTGCACTACCAGGCTGGCCCTTCCTGGGCAACGGCCACGCGCCCGCGACTCCGTAGCCTCCCCTGATCTGCCAAAACAAGGGGGGAAGGGGGCAGGAGATCGGGGGAGGCTCGGGAGTCACAGGCAGACGGTGCGCTGTTGCCCAGTTTTTAAAAAACTCTGTGCATTTATGTTTCACAGGGTGCGAAAGAAGGGCTTTGCACCTTTATACAATATGCATGTGTGCTTGGGCCCAGGGTCTTTTGCCTCACCATCCCCACTACTGACTCCCTGACTCAGCTTCAAAAAAAAAAAAAGTTCATTGGAAACAAAATCTGGTCCACAACCTCCCAAAGGAGTCTGTTCCACTGTCAAACAGCTCTTACTGTCAGGAAGTTCTTTCCAATGTTTAGTCAGAATCTCCTTTCTTATCACTTGAAGCAATTGATTCGAATCCTACCCTCCGCAGAAGGAGAGGACAATCTTGCTCCATTTTCCAAGTGACAGCCCTTGAGATATTTGAAGATGGCGATCATATCTCCTCTCAGTCGCCTCTTATCCAGGCTAAACATACCCAGTTCCTTCAACCGTTCCTCATAAGGCTTGGTTTCAAACATCTTCCAGGACAACATGCCCATGACAAGGAACCCATAAGTCACTTAGTCTCAGCTGTTGGAAATATTGTAACTAGACACTGGAAGAACCTATCAGGAGTGAACATGGGCCACATGTCAAACTGTGGCTGGCCTGTGGCTCTTCAGATATTGCTGGACTACAAATCAAATAATCCCTAAGCATTGGCCATTGTGGGTGAGGCTGATGCGAGTCCAATGACATCTGAAGACACCACAACTTAGCCACCCCCATCCAAATCACGTATTAACAAACTGAAAGCACACCCTGTAGCAAACATTTAAAAGAACTGCATAATGTCATTTTCTAACTTTGGTTGCACAGCCACCAACCAGCCAGTTGACATATTATTTTTCTTTTATTACAGGATGGGCTTTCCCATAGGTGATTTTTGAGTTGACATAAAATATAACCTGCCTTGAAATAGATACCAGAGGGAAGCGAAATAAAGCAGCTGGCAAACCCATTGACCTAAGCCTTTTAAAGAAAATTATAGCCGTTTAATAGAACATGATTCTGCAATTCAGGATCATGGGTAAATGTTAACTTGCCTCACTCCCATTTGAAATTAAACTAAATATTGCAGTGATTAACTGAAAAATCAATGCTTTCTTCATATGAAGCCATAGGTGCAACCAGCAGCAGCCATTAAACGGTCCCAAGTGCGCACTCAGCAACCATTTATCTCCTCACGGAATGGCTAGCTGCCATCCCCATTTCATGATCATTGGTCCCAAGGCATCCCCTTTATCTCTTTCAAACTATAGTTTAGTCCAGCCAGTTCTAAGCCTTCTGTTATTCCAGCAATACTTTGACCTAGGCAACCTTTTCATAAACAAGGTTTGTTAGATCCAATGAAAATAAAATTGCCAATTTCTATGTTTCAATGTTCCCCACCCCCCGCCGCCACCCTCCAATAAAAGATTGCAATGAAGTATACATGTTTGGACAGATTAAAAGGGAACATTGATTTGCTAAGAATGTCTATATGCACCATCTCAGTCATCTTTAGGCAGAATACAGTCGTACCTTGGTACGCATCCGTTTTGGCTCACGAACTCCGCAAACCCAGAAGTAAGTGTTCCAGTTTGCAAACGTTCTTTGGAAGCCAAACGTCTGGTGTGGCTTCCACAGCTTCTGATTGGCTGTAGGAAGTTCCTCCAGCCAATCAGAAGCCGCGCCTTGGTTATCAAATGTTTTTGGAAGTCAAAGGCTTTTGGAAGGGATTCCGTTCGACAACCAAAATACGACTGTAATAGGGTGGGTTCCTCGTCATGCTGGAGAAAAGTGACAAGTGGGGTGCTGCAGGTTTTTGTCCTGGGCCCATAATAATAATAATCATAATAATTTATTATTTATACCCTGCCCATCTGGCTGGGATTCACCAGCCACTCTGGGCAGCTTCCAACAGACTATTAAAATACAATAACCTATTAAACATTAAAAGCTTCCCTAAACAGGGCTGCCTTCAGATGTCTTCTAAAAGTCTGGGTTTTTTTCTCTTTGACGTCTGGTGGGAGGGCGTTCCACAGGGCGGGTGCCACTACCAAGAAGGCCATCTACCCGGTTCCCTGTAACTTGGCTTCTCGCAGCGAGGGAACCGCCAGAAGGCCTTTGGCACTGGACCTCAGTGTCCGGGCAGAACGATGGGGGTGGAGACGCTCCTTCAGGTATACTGGGCTGAAGCCATTTAGGGCTTTAAAAGTCAGCACCAACACTTTGAATTGTGCTCAGAAACATACTGGGAGCCGTTGTTCAGCGTCTTTATAAATGACTTGGACGAATGAATTGAGGAGATGTTCATCAAATTTGCAGATGACCAAACTGGGAGGGGTAGCTAATGCAGCAGAAGAAAGAATCGGGATTCAAAATGACCTTAACAGATTGGAGAACTGGGTGTGAGCTAACAAAATGAATTTCAATATGAAGAAGTGTAAGGGTCTGCACTGAGGCAGAAAGAACCAGCTGCACAAATATAATATTAGAGACACCTGGCTTGCTAGTAGTACATGTGAAAAGGATCTAGGGTTCTTAGTGGACCACAAGCTTAACATGAGTCAACAGTGTGATCCAGCACAAAAAAAGCTAATGCTATTCTAGGCTGCATCAACAGAAGAATAGTGTCCAAATCAAGAGAAGTCATAGTCCCACTATATTCTGCCTTCTTCAGACCACACCTGGAATAGTGTGTCTAGTTCTTAGCGCCACAGTTTAAGAAAGATGTTGAGAAGTTGGGATATATGCTTCCAACTTTACGATTTTGGTACTGGTATTGACAGCAAATACTTCAGTTCCTTCCTTGACCAACAGCAGCCATTGTGGAACATGGAGTAGGAAACTGGAGCCTAGGATTTTGAGACATATGATGTCTGACATTATCAAATATTTCTGTTAAAACTGAGTCAAATCATACGGAACCCTAATAATGTAATCAGCTGCTTGTACATCTTGGGAACCCCTTTAAATTACCTTTTAATAAATGATATAAATTTGTATGATTCCCTCCAGATTCAGAAGAAGTTTGAGAAAACTGCCAGAAGTACATTGACTAGTAAGTATCACAGAAAATTAGTCTACTAGCAATCTGCAATAATGGATCTTTCTGCCATACCTTGAAAATGTTACTGAAACTCTGCCATTACTTTTCTTAATGTACAGATGCCACAAAATGTCTCTATTAATATGCTAAACTGAGAGCAATAACTTTATCCTGTGTTTTGATCTCAAAGGTCAAACAGCAACAGTTGTATTAAAGTGAAATATATTTTTATCATATATGCTTCTAGATGAAGAATGGTTAACTGCAGTTGTTATGCCTTTATGAATAAAGAGATACTTCAGCCTCCCGAAATCTATATTGCAAAGTAGGCCACAGTGCAAACTGTATTAGATGATGGAAAACTGAGTTAACTCCTAATTTGGTGGGTGGGAGGGAGGTTTTTGTCCTTCTCCTTTACAGAAAAATGAACAGTCAGTACGTCCGCCATGAAGTATTTGCCTCTGAGACTGGGGAGCTGAAAGACTTCTGGGAAAAGACCATTGAGAAGCAGACTCAGCATTTTGAAGCTGAGAAAGATCGTAAACAAAGAAGTGCACTGGCACGGTAAGTATGTGATTTGTACTTCAGATGTTTTACTTCGGATTAAATATATATATAGTGAGCCCTGCAATTTGCTATTTAGCCATCTCCAATGACCACGGGAGCCTCACAAAGCTGACATTTTTAAGAGCAGCTCAGCTGTGCACAGCCAGAGTTGCCAAGCGCTTCCCTACCTGAAACTAAGAAATATTTTGGCTGTGTCTGCTTTAAGGAAAAACCGTCAGCCTCTAACTTCCACCCTACATCAGGAAGGAAAGGACAGGAATCTCTTCTCACTTACACCTTTTAAAGACACTTCCAGGACTTCAAAAATCTGTTAAGTACTCTGGTGTATGTAACAAACAGACAGGATCCCCTCAGCTTATTCTTCAGCCAGAAGCATTCAAGCACTCAAAAGAGCACAGAAATAGGAGTAGCTTCACATGCCATGACCAGCTCGCTCGTTCCACCCCAAACATTTCTGCAATCAGCGTAAGGGTCTGCCTTCAGATGCCTTTTAAAGGTTGCATAAAAATAGCACAGTTTACATAAAATCACAATCAATTAATTAAAATACATTCTAAAATCAGTTCAGAATAAAATTAATTGCAACCATTGGGCTAGAGTTCTATGAGGATTACAGAAGGAAGGGGGTCAGACTGTGCCTTGGCTAAAGGCCTGGTGGAACAGCTCTGTCTTGCAGGCCCTGCGGAAAGATGTCAAGTCCCGCAGGGCCCTAGTCTCTTGTGACAGAGCGTTCCACCAGATCGGGGCCACAACCGAAAAAGCCCTGGCTCTGGTCAAGGCCAGCCTAACCTCCCTGTGGCCTAGGATCTCCAAAATGTTTTTATTTGCAGATTGTTAGGTCCTCTGTGGGACATACCAGGAGAGGCGGTCCCGTAGGTACGAGGGTCCTAGGCTGCATAGGGCTTTAAAGGTTAAAACCAGCATCTTAAACCTGATCCTGTACTCCACTGGGAGCCAGTGCAGCTGGTATAGCACCGTGTGAATGTGATCCCGCGGCGAGGAACCCGTAAGGAGTCTCACCGCGGCATTCTGCACCCACTGGAGTTTCTCAAGGGCAGCCCCATGTAGAGTGAGTTAATCAATCCTGGAGGTGACCGTTGCGTGGATCACAGTAGCTAGGTCAGGGCGAGAGAGGTAAGGAGCCAACTACTTATCTCCTTGGCTCGGAGGTCGCATAACTCCATACCCTCCAACTTTTCTCTGATGAACAGGGGCGCCTTGCCCATATAGGCAAGTGGCGTGGGGCGCCAGGGCGCCAGGTTCTGGAGGGCACCAGGGAAGAGGCAGAGGCTGGGAGTGGCACCTCCCGGCATCAGCTCACCATCCTCGCCCGCTTCGCTGAAGCAGTGCCACACCCAGAGCCTCTGCCTCTTCCCCACCGGAGGAGCCTCCCTCCAGCCGCTGCCCACCTCCTCCAGCCCCGCAAAGCTGCCGGCAGCGCCGTAAAAAGGTCGGCAACTCTGGGAAACGGGGGGGGGGGTGGAGGGATCTTTGCATCGTTCTGCCCGGACACTGAGGTCCAGTGCCGAGGGCCTTCTGGCGGTTCCCTCACTGCAAGAAGCCAAGTTACAGGGAACCAGGCAGAGGGCCTTCTTGGTAGTGGCACCCGCCCTGTGGAACGCCCTCCCACCAGATGTCAAAGAGAAAAACAACTACCAGACTTTTAGAAGACATCTGAAGGCAGCCCTGTTTAGGGAAGCTTTTAATGTTTAAGAGGTTATTGTATTTTAGTGTTTTGTTGGAAGCCGCCCAGAGTGGCTGGGGAAACCCAGCCAGATGGGCGGGGTATAAATAAATTATTATTATTATTATTATTATTATTTGCACCACGGCCCTGCCGATGAAAATAGGGACATTCTAAGGAAAGCAAGACATTCTGGGATCAAATCAGAAACCAGGACGGCTTCTGTAAATCCAGGACTGTCCCTGGAAAATAGAGACACTTGGGTCTGATTTTCATCATGGCCACAATCAGTCTGGGGAAGCAAGAGTTGCCCAGGGCAGATGCTAGCATTGTTTTATAACAAATTTAGAAGGGAACACATGTGCAAACTCTGCAGGAATATTTCCTTTTTTAAGATGCAGTAAAAATAGAGAAGAAATCCCTTGTGAATGTAGCTAAGGAGCATCCCCAAGGATGTACCATGAGGTATTTATTTTCTAACGAGTTTCTCTCTGCTAAGCAGTGCATATACTAACCTTCCAAATCTTTCTTCCTATTAGACTCAGGAGCGAATGGACAGAAAGGCTGGAGAAAAGGTTAAAAATGCTCAAAGAACAAGAGAACGAAGAAGCCCCTAACTGAAGAGAACATTGTGTATTTTTATATATTTGAATGGAACACTGACCAGAATTGAAAGGAGAAGCGTTTGTGTTCTGACTGAGGTGGAGCTATAGTGTCCAGTTTCCATTCACTTAGAAATTTCACTGACTTTACAAGGATGAATGGATGGATGTTTTATTCCTTTGTGTCTCTTAGACTATTTGACTTCCTGCTTTAGTCATCAAAAAGTTACTAATCCTACATTCTCCACTCCCGTTCCCCTAGAGCTTTCTTGGCAATAATATTTCAGTAATCTAACTCTTGAATTTTTGTAGCAATTGCGGGGGTTTGAGTTGCTAGATTTTTAATGTTGTTTGTTGCCCTAGGATGCCTTCAGGCAGAGAAGCAACTGATAAATATGATAAATAAATAATCTCCTATTTGCATTTTTGGACACTTATTCTCATGTTAGCATTTTTGGCTGTTATGTCATTTTGCAACATTTCATCAGAATTGTGTGTGAGGCCACAAACAGATTATCTAAAGAAAACAGACATCATTTATTTATTTAATTTATTTATTTATTTGCCAACTGAACAAAGGAAGGACATACAAATAAATTGATTAAAATTAAAATTAAAGAAAAAAAGAATGATTATATAGAGTATCATTATCATTATTTATTTATTTATTTATACCCTGCCTTTTCCCCTGATGGGACTCAAGGTACCTTACACATTTAAAAAAACGCTAAAAGCATTGAAATAGCAATCATTAAAATGCAATTAAACATTGATAGAATTAAAACTATATACATATATAAAATATGTTAAAAACATACTGATAATCAGAATGGTAAAGGTAAAGGACTCCTGGGTGGTTAAGTCCAGTTGAATTTGACTATGGCGTGACTATGGGGTGTGGTGCTCTCATCTCTGCTTTCAGACTGAGCAAGCCAGCATTCGTCCAGGTCATATAGCCAGTGTGAGTAAACTGCTTCTGGTGCAACAGAGCACTGTGACGGAAGCCAGAGCGCACGGAAACACCGTTTACCTTCCTGCCCCAGTGGTACCTATTTATCTACTTGAGTTAGTATGCTTTTTAACTGCTAGGCTGGCAGAAGCTGGGACAGAGCAACGGGACCTCATCCCATTGCAGGGATTCAAACCACCAAACTTCTGATTGGCAAGCCCAAGAGGCTCAGTGGTTTAGACCACAGCACCACCAGCATTCCAATAATCCGAATAAAAACAGCATGGCACCAGTCCTTTAATTTAAAACAGTCAGTTCCCTCTTATCAGCTCACACTTGGATATAATAACCATCAGTACATCCATCTTAAGTTAAACATTCAAATTAACATAATTCCTCCATTTGTTCAGATAGGTATGAAATTGATGTTTATAAAAACGTGTTTAAATATAGCCAGGGCATTGAGGTCTTCAGACTATTGTGTGATAGACAGGGAGTGTTTATGCTTTCAGAGTCCACATATAAGTCTCCTGGTGACCATAAGAACTCAACAAATCAGCTTTCATTGTCCTGCCACTAATCCCCATACTGTGGGGAAATAATTTAAAAGTACACGAGCATCTGCATATATCGAGGATTTTGCCCATTCAAAATTGATGACGGGAACTTCAGACTAAAAAGAACAAATCACTGGACAAGCCCACATCATGTGCCTTGAGATGTTAAGCTTGGTTTCAGATGGCGCCAAACCATGGCTTAGCCCTGGGTAGCAGAGCAGCAACAGGACTGGAGGGGCCACAACTTTTGCTCTGAATACCTGCATGCTTGCTCTTGCATGCATGCTTATAATAATATAATAATAATTTATTATTTATACCCCGCCCACTCTGGGTGGCTTCCAACAAAATATTAAAATACAGTAATGCATCAAACATTAAAAGCTTCCCTAAATGTCTTCCAAAAGTCTGGTAGTTGTTGTTCTCTTTGACATCTGGTGGGAGGGCGTTCCACAGGGTGGGTGCCACTACCGAGAAGGCCCTCTGCTTAGCCATTGTTTGGCACAAACTTGGAAGCCAACCAGACCAGCATCACATCATGTGGATTTATTTACTTTTGAAATTATAGTGGTACCTCGGGTCACATACGCTTCAGGTTACAGAATCCGCTAACCCAGAAATAGTACCTCGGGTTAAGAACTTTGCTTCAGGATGAGAACACAAATCGCATAGTGGCGGCGCGGCAGCAGCAGGAGGCCCCATTAGCTAAAGTAGTGCTTCAGGTTAAGAACAGTTTCAGGTTAAGAACAAACCTCCGGAATGAATTAAGTACTTAACCCAAGATACCACTGTACTGTTCATTGCCGCTCCATAGCAGGAGTTCTCTGGTCGTTGCACAGAGCAAAACCCTCCCCACTTGAATAAACTTGAAGCCGTCAAAAGAGAAATGCCACCGTTATTTCATGACCTTTTCTATACTTTTCTATATCATTGGGCATTCAAGTATCGCTTTGGGTATACAGCTTTTCGTAACCAAAGGCAACTGCTAAATAAATAATATGAAAACAGACAGTGCAGCGCCTCTCATGCTTGACAAAAGTCTTTCCCAAATTCTACAGCAACAGCTAAAAAGCAGAAGACGACAAGGAAGGAAAAGGGGGGGGGAGAAGGACATTTGAAGAGGCACTGGGCAGGGGGACACTTTGATGGGTTTCGGGTTATATGCTCTCCTACAGCGATAACCAGAAGGCAGACTGAAAACTACTGGTAGTTCTCTGGTTGGTTTGAAATAGATCAGTGAAAATGTCTCATTCCCAGTTGTTTAATAATGACAACAACAAAAAGAAACCAGCATTCCTAAAAACACAAAATATTGCTGAAATTAAGAAAGCAAAAGCAGGGGCATTGGGTGTGGGTGCATGTGTGGAAAGATTATTAGTACTCAAAACAAATTCCTGGGCCAAGAATATAGTTATTCTAAGTGCATATCTCTGACCCCTGACTTCAGCTGATGGATGTCAGGGTTCTAGTAAAACACAGATTAAAGTCTGCTGCTCCTGTTTTCTGTGTGCCATTTTCCTGTCACTGTCCACCAGGGCAGTTTTCACTCGGCCTGACGTTGTAAAGAAAAGACTACCGAGTTTGCCCATAGTACAATAGAAAGTGAATACTCTTCTCCTTCTTTGGCAAACACTCGTAGCCAAGTAAGATTGTCTTCCATGAACACGGTTTTAACAAGGAGTCCATAAGTGACTGGAGGCCAATTCTGGATCCACACGTCCTTCCACAGTGGGGACATTGGTTTCCAGGCAGAAGTTGATCATGGTGTGAATTTGCCAAGCGTGCCTTCCTCTTAGCACGTTTCTCCTTTGCATCCTGAGTTGAGTGTCTTCAAAGCCCATGACACCTTTGGTAAAGGCTGTTCTCCAATTGGAGCACTCGCAGGCCAGTGTTTCCCAGATGTCAGTGTTTATACAACATTTTTTTAGGTTTGCCTTGAGACAGTCTTTAAACCTCTTTTGTTGACCACCAGCCTTATGCTTTCCATTTTTAAGTTCAGAATAGTTGCTTTGGAAGATGATAATCAGGCATCTGAACAACATGGCCAGTCCAAAGAAGTTGATGTTGAAGAATCATTGCTTCAACACTGGTGATCTTTCCTTCTTCCAGTACACTGGCATTAGTTCGCCTGTCTTCCCAAGTGATGTGTAAAAATTTTCGGAGACACCGTTGATGGAATCTTTTGAGGAGCTGGAGATGGTGTTTATAAGTGGTCCATGTTTCACAAGCATACAGTAAGGTTGGTAGTACACGGAGTGAATACTATCAGGGCCTTGATGTTAGTTGGAGGGGTCAAGGTCAGGTAGCAACCTGGTTCCAAAATGCAGCCGTCAAAGACAGTTTCTAGAGCAGCTACTAGTTGCTTAAACTGAAGCAAATCTTCAGACAACAGCTAAAACATAAGAAGGCCCTGCTGGATCAGACCAATGACTTTTTTAGTCCAATATCTGTTTTCACAGTGGAACCCTAGAACTCTTCCCTGCCAATCAGAGACAATACTGAGCTAGATGGGCCAATCATCTCACTTGGTATGCGGCAGCTTCCTCTTCCTATATGAAGAATGGGGATTGGCTCCTGCTGGCTAAAATCAAGCTCTTGGGTTCTTCATCGGTAGCTCTGCTTGAAAATAAATATGTATTTGTATGGCAGGTATACAGTATTTGGTGATCAGACTGTCACCTTGCTTACTTTTCTTCTTTCATTTCCCATGACAGGAAATGGATTGAGATAGGCTTGACACACGTTAAATGAGAAAGTTGAAACCGAACTTCTTTGATTAACACCTTTCTTTCACTTTTCTTTATGAGGGCACTAGAAACATATTTTATTGCGGGGTTTAACTCCATTTTCATTTTTGCCTTGTAGTTCACCTTTAATGTCTGGATGAATTATTTTAGAACTAGATTCCACAATGGTAGATTTAGGGCTCAGGGTCACATTATCTATATTTATATAAGTACCAAAATCCCAAAGTCAATTTCTTTTCTTTTCCTTCTTTTTTTCCAAGGGTATTTCACTTGCACTTTTATAAATTACTGAGAGCAAAATAGTGCATCCCCCCCTACCCCAGTAATAAATACAATTTAAGATCAATCAGGAAAAGGAGCTAAATTCAAGTCTAAAATGCCACGAAAGAAACTTAATCAGCAGCAGGAACATTACTCAATAAAATCTAAGGCAAGTTGAAAAGACAGGAGTATAAATCTTTAATTCATCTTGAAGGTCCTTATAAAAGAATCAAAGGAAGCAAAGGCAAAACTTGCAGTCCTTCCCAAAATATATAAAAGACTTAAAATAGAAATCCCAAAGGACCATAAGATTGTGGTCATCCACCTACTAAAAATACATAGGTTCAAAGGCACACTGCTCTCAAGATCACCTTGGCTTATTTTTTGGGCTATGGGTTGGATATAGGAGAGAATGAAGCTGAACACAGAGAAGTTGAAAGTGGATTGAGTCCATCCTATGTGTGCATGTTTTTCATGTCATCCACACAACATTGTCCTCATCCAAGTGGCAGCACACACTTCCCCCCACATAATTTATGAAAGAGGCAACCACATGCCAACACTGCATGACTCCTTAGTAACACGTCCATCGGCTGTGCAG